GTCCCAGCTACTTGGGAGGCTGAGGCAGGAGATTCACTTGAGCCCAGGAGTTGGAGGTTGCTGTGAGCTGTGATGCCACAGCACTCTACCCACGGGGACAGCCTGAGGCTCTGTCTCAAAAAAAAAGACAAAAATTTTACACTAAATCAATGAAACAAGCCAGGTACAAAAGGTCTCATATTATCCGATTCCTTTTATATGATAAATCCAGAATAGGCAAATCTATTAAGAGACAAAGAGTAGGCTGGAAGATGTTACTAGGGCATGGTTGAAGAGGGAAATGAGGAGTGATTACCTAATGAGTATGGGTGTGTTTTTGTGGGGTGCTAGAAAGTTTTAAAACTAGAGAAAAGTGTTGGTTGCACAACATTGTTAATACCCTAAGTGCCACTGAATTGTATACTGTAAAAAGATTAACTTTGTTATATGAATGTCACCTAAATTAATAAAAAGACAAGGGCGGCACCTGTGGCTCAAAGGAGTGAGGCAGTGGCCCCAGCCAAAAACTGCAAAAAAATTTAAAAAAGACAAAAGAACATTTTTTGGCTTAGCTCTCTCATCAAGAAATAACAAGCTTCTGGCTCGGTGCCTGTAGCTCAGCAGCTAAGGCACCAGCTACATACACCAGAGCTGGTGAGTTGGAATCCAGCCTGGGTTGGACAACTACAACCAAAAAATAGCTGGGCATTAATGGTAGGTGCCAAGTATGGTCCCAGCTACTTGGGAGGCTGAGGCATGAGGACTGCATAAGGCCAAGAGTTGGAGGTTGCTGTGAGCTGTCATACCACACATTCTACCCAGGGCAACATAGTGAGACTCTGTATCAAAAAAAAAAGTAAGAAATAACAAGCTTCTAAAGCCAGCCCATACAATATAACTGGGACACCAAATTTACAACTAGAAAATAAGGAGAAGAGCACATTCCCCTTCTTTGTCATGGGAGATACTTGGGGCAAGCAGATTAGTCCCCAGGGCACAAAATTTAAGGAAGCACTCACTTCCAGGTTTGTACAAGTGCAAAACTTGAACTTACACAAATTTGAGAGTGAGTGCCTCCTTTGATTTGCAGTCCAGGCACCTACTTGCCTCTTCCTAGTTTCTTTTTCTGTTTTAAGGAACCAGAACTAGGAATTAGCTACAAACTGGCCACTGAGAGGGCGAAGCAGACTGGAACCAATTCCCGTTTTGAGCTGCTTTTTCCCTTTTTCATTTTTTTCCTTTTTAAGACAGGGCCTTGCTCTGTCACTGAGACTGGAATGCAGTGGCATCAACATAGCTCATTACAACCTCCAACTCCTGGCCTCAAGCGATCCTCCTGCCTGAGCCTTCTGGGTAGCTGGAACTACAGGCATGTGACACTAGCTACTGTGCCCACCTGCCCATTGAACTTAATCATCCCATTGCAACCTGAAAGAGAGCTTAAGAACCAATTTTATTTTATTTTATTTTATTTTATTTATTTATTTTGAGACAGAGTCTCATTTGGTCACCCTTGGTAGAGTGCCATGGCATAAGATGGCATAAGCTCTTAGGTTCAAGTGATCCTCTTGCCTCAGCCTCCCAAGTAGCTAGAACTATAGGCACCCGCCACAATGCCCAGCTATTCTTTTTTTAGAGATGGGGTCTCACTCTTGCTCAGGCTGGTCTCGAACCTGTGAGCTCAGGCAATCCACCTGCCATGGCCTCCCAAGTACTGGGATTACAGGCATGAGCCACCTTGCTGGCCCTAAAACCAATTTTTTTTTATTTTATTTATTTATTTATAATTATTATTATTATTTGAGACAGAGTCTCACTATGTTACCCTCAGTAGAGTACTGTGGTGTCACAGCTCATACCAAACTTAAACTCTTGGGCTCAAGTGATTCTTCTGCCTCAGCCTCCCAGTAGCTGGGACTACAGGCTCCTGCCATAATGCCCGGCTATTTTTTTTGTTATAGTTGTCATTATTGTTCAGCTGGCCCAGGCCGGGTTCAAACCCACCAGCCTCCATGTATGTGCCTGGCGCTGTAACCACTGTGCTATGGGTGCCGAGCCTATTTTATTTATTTTTTTGAGACAGAGTCTCACTAGTGTCGCCCTCAGTGGAGTGCCATGGCCTCATAGCTCACAGCAACCTCGAACTCTTGGGCTTAAGTGATTCTCTTGCCTCAGCCTCCCAAGTAGCTGGGACTACAGGCATCCGCCACATCGACCAGCTATTTTTTGTTGCAGTCATCATTGTTTAGCTGGTCTGGGCTGGGTTTAAATGTGCCAACTTTGGTGTATGTGGCTGGCACTCTAACCACTATGCAACAGGTGCTGAGCTCCTGTAACCAATTTTGAAAGAAAGAAAAGCTATGGTCTAGAGAATCTTGGATTCTTACTATTTCTCTCATAACAACATTTACCTCAGTGACCTATAACTGCTGGTTCTAAACCACCTCCCCTGTGGACCGTGTTCTGGGACAGCACGAAGACTGTCCCAGGGTGTGGAACAGAGCCTCAAAAGAGTTGTCTACATTTGCTAACTCTAATTCTTCTCCAAATATTTTTTCTTCAACCCATTCTAATAAAGGTCTCATTCTCACCATTCCCCCCAAACTTCTTTTATCAAGACAATTAGGGCCAGGCTCAATGGCTCATGCCTGTAATCCTAGCACTCTGGGAGGCCAAGGCAAGTGGATCTAATGAGTTCGAGACCAGTCTACACAAGAGCGGGACCCTGTCTCTAAAAATAGCTGGGCATGTGCCAGGTGCCTGTAGTCCCAGCTATTTGGGAGGCTGAGGCAAGAGGATAGCTTGAGTCCAATAGTTTGAGGCTGCTGTAAGCTATGACGCCATGGCACACTACTGAGGGCAACATAGTAAGACTGTCTCAAAAAAAAAAAAGATAATTATCTTCTTTTTTTTTTTTGAGACAAAGCCTCAAGCTGTCCCCCTGGGTGGAGTGCCATGGCATTACAGCTCACAGCAACCTCCAACTCCTAGGCTCAAGCGAGTCTCCTGCCTCTGCCTCCCAAGTAGCTGGGACCACAGGCGCCCGCCACAACGCCCAGCTATTTTTTGGTTGCAGCCGTCATTGTTGTTTTGGCGGGTCCGGGCTGGGGATTCGAACCCGCCACCTTAGGTGTACGTGGCTGGCACCTTAGCCGGTTGAGCTATAGGCGCCGAGCCGATAATTATCTTCTTATTGCTAAATCCAACAGTCAATTCTCAACCCTTATCTTCTTTAATCCATCAATAATATTTGATACTGTTCATCACTCCCTTCTCTTCCTTTCTTTCCTCTCTCCTTTTTTTTTTTTAGACAGTCTTACTTTGTCACCCTTGGTAGATAGAGTGGTGTGGTGTCACAGCTCACAGCAACCTCAAACTCTTGCGCTGAAGCAATTCTCTTGTCTCAGCCTCCCAAGTAGCTGGGACTACAGGTACCCACCACAACACTGGCTATTTTTAGAGACAAGGTCTTGATCTTGCTCAGGCTGGTCTCAAACTCCTGAGTTCAACTCAGGCCATCTACCCACCTCGGCCTTCTAGAGTGCTAGGATTACAGGTGTGAGCCACAGCACTCAGCCCCTCTTGAAACATTTTCTTCCCTTGGCTTCCAAGATGATGAACTCTCCTGAAGTCTCTTCACCCCACAGCTTGTTCCGTCCTTGCCTCCTTTGTTTCATTTCCTCCATCTTCAAATGCTGAAGTGCCTCAGGTCTCAGTCCACTGTATACTCATTCTCTCTGAGATCTCATCCAGTCCCAAGGCTTTAAATACTAGCCATATGCCAAATGCTCCCAACTTAAACCTCCAGCCTATATCTCTGTCCTAGATTCCACACTCCAAATGCCTCTATAACAAGGATGTCTAACAGGGATCTTAAATTTAGTTAGTAAGTCCAAAGGCAAACTTTGTGTGTGTGTGTGTGTGAGAGAGAGTGAGAGAGAGAGAGAGAGAGAGAGAGAGAAAGGCTAGAGTACAGCATTACTTCATAGTTCAATGTAGCCTCAAACTCCTTTGTTTGCAGAGGCTAGAGTACAGCATTACTTCGTAGTTCAATGTAGCCTCAAACTCCTAGGTTCAAGCAATCCTCCTACCTCATGTTCCCATGTAGCTGAGTTTACAGGTGCCTGCCACCACACTTAGCTAATTTTTCTATCTTTTGTAGAGATGGGGGTTTTGCTAGACCTATATTGTTCAGGTAGGTCTCAAACTCCTGGCCTCAAGTAATTCTCCTGCCTCAGCCTCCTAAAGTGCTAGGATCACAGGCATGAGCTATCACTCTCCACCCAAAAGCAAACTCTTTTTTTTTTTTTTTTTTTTAGACGGAGCCTCAAGCTATCCCCCTGGGTAGAGTGCCATGGCATTACAGCTCACAGCAACCTCCAACTCCTGGGCTCAAGCGAGTCTCCTGCCTCAGCCTCCCAAGTAGCTGGGACTACAGGCGCCCGCCACAACACCTGGCCATTTTTTGGTTGCAGCCATCATTGTTGTTTGATGGGCCCAGGCTGGGGATTCGAACCCGCCACCTTAGGTGTATGTGGCTGGCGCCTTAGCCGCTTGAGCCACAGGCGCCGAGCCCAAAAGCAAACTCTTGATCTTTCTTCCACTTTGAATCAGCTTGCCTTCCAGGGTCCCCTACCTTGGTAAAATGAAAACCTCACCCTTCAGTTGTCCAGACCAAAACCTGTGGAGTCATCTCTGGTTTCTTTCTTTCTCTTTTACCCCACATTTGATCTGTTAGCAAATCCCACAGGTTATGCCTTCAAAATACATCCAAGCTTTCACCACTTCTCAACACCTCTATTGTTATTATATAGTTCAAAGCCACCGTCATCTCTTTAAATTATTGTAATACTCTCCTAATTTGTCTTCCTGCAACTATCCATGACCCTCCACATACAACTTACTCTTTTTTTTTTTTTTTTGAGACAGAGCCTCAAGCTGTCCCCCTGGGTAAAGTGCCATGGCATCACAGCTCACACCAACCTCCAATTCCTGGGCTCAAGCAAGTCTCCTGCCTACACCTCCCAAGTAGCTGGGACCACAGGCACCTGCCAAAATGTGGGCATTGTTGTTTGGCGGGCCTGCGCTGGATTCGAACCCGCCACCTTAGGTGTATGTAGCTGGCACCTTAGCCACTTGAGCCACTTGAGCCACAGGCACAAGTGAGCCACAACTTATTCTTAATACAGCAACTTAAGTGATCCTTTTAAAATGTTAAGTCAGGCAGTGCCCCTACTTCAGTGGGTAGCATGTGGGCCACATATACCAAGGGTTTGAATCCAGCCCAGGCCAGCTAAACAACAACAACTGTAACAACAAAACAGCCGGGCATTTTGGTGGATGCCTGTAGTCCCAGCTACTTGGGAGGCTAAGGCAAGAGAATCACCTAAGCCCAGGAGTTGGAGGTTGCTGTGAGCTGTGATGCACAGCACTTTACAGAGGGTGACATAGTGAGACTCTGTCTCAAAAAAGAAAAAAAAAAAGTCAGATCATGTCGCTCATCTGTTCAAAAAGTTTCACATCTTGGCCAGGCACGGGAGCCCACACCTATAATCCTAGCACTCTGGGAGGCGGAGGTGGGTAGATGATTGCTTGAGCTCATGAGTTCGAGACCAGCCTGAGCAAAAGCAAGACCTCTGTCTCTACTAAAAAATAGAAAAACTGGGGCTAGAGGATTGCTTGAGTCCAAGAGTTTGAGGTTGCTGTGAGCTATAATGCCACAGCATTCTACCTAGGGCAACAGCTTGAGATTCTGTCTCAAAAAAAAAAAAAAAAAAGATTCCCATCTCACTTTAGCCAAAGTCCCTGCATTAGTCTTAGTAGGTCCAATAATATTTGTACGCACCTCTCCCACTCTCTAACCTAAACCCCTAATTTCTTCCCTTTGCTCACTTAGAACCACATTGATCTGAATGTTGTTCCCTGAACACACCAGACATCTGCCTCAGGGCCTCTGCACCTGCCGGTCCTTCTATCAGATAACCTAATGGCAATTTCCCTCATCCACTTCAGATTTTTGCAAAGAAGTCGCTTCTTTCTTGACTTTGCTCTTGAAAAGTGCAAGCCCCTAGCTCCATTCTTTATCCCCCTCCCAGCTTTATTTTTCTCATTTGCACTTATCACTATTTGACATATTATGTTTTACTTATTTCTTTATAGTCCATCTCTCCCACTGGAGAGTAAGTTCCAAAAGGGCAGCAAAAAAGGGCAGTGACTGTGGTTCAGAGGGTAGGGTGCCAGCCCTATATACCGAGAATGGCGGGTTCAAACCCAGCCATGGCCAAACTGCAACAAAAAAAATAGCTGGGCATTATGGCAGGCGCCTGTAGGAAGCTGAGGCAAGAGAATTGCCTAAACCCAGGAGTTGGAGGTTGCAGCAAGCTGTGTGACACCACAACAGGTGATAAAGTGAGACTCTGTCTCTACCAAAAAAAAAAAAAAAAAAAAAAGCAGCAAGTGTAGTCTGTTCTGCTCATTGCTATAGCCTCAGCACCTAGGAGGTGAGGTGCTCAGTAACTATATGTTTAAACTATGTGAGCATCCCTAATCCAAAATTTGAAATATTCCAAATTCCAAAAGTTTCTGAGTGCTGACATCATGCTACAAGTGGAAGATTCCAGACAGGACCTCATGTGACAGGATGCATAAAAAATTATTTAAAACATTTTAGGCTTGGCGCCTGTGGCTCAAGCGGCTAAGGCACCAGCCACATACACCTAAGGTGGTGGGTTCGAATCCAGCCCAGGCCCGCCAAACAACAATGATGGCTGCAACAAAAAAATAGCCAGAATTGTGACAGGCGCCTGTGGTCTCAGCTACTCTACTTGGGAGGCTGAGGCAGGAGGCTCGCTTGAGCCCAGGAGTTGGAGGTTGCTGTGAGCAGTGAAACCATGGCACTCTACCATGGGGGACAGCTTGAGGCTCTGTCTCAAAAAAAAAAAAATTTTATCATGGGGTGGCTCAAAGGAGTAGGGCGCCGGCCCCATATGCTGGAGATGGCAGGTTCAAACCCAGCCCTGGCCAAAAACTGAAAAAAAAAAACAAAAACAAAAACATAAATGTATATATATATGTTTTATCATGGGTGGCACCTGTGGCTCAGTGAGTAGGGCACCAGACCCATATACCTGGTGGCAGGTTCAAAACCGCCCTGGCCAAACTGCCACCAAAAATAGCCCGACGTTGTGACAGGTGCCTGTAGTCCCAGCTACTCCGGAGCCTGAGGCAAGAGAATCAGCTAAGCCCAAGAGTTTGCGGTTGCTGTGAGCTATGATGTCATGGCACTATACTGAGGGCCACATAGTGAGACTCTATCTCTGTCTGTCTCTCTCTCCATATATAACATTATGTATATATATAATATTAATATATGTGGGCTCAAGCAATTCTCACATATTATCCTCTACAGATTATATATATGTATATATATTATCAGTTTTACCTTCAGGCTACGTGTATATGAAACATGAATGAATTTTCGGTCTAGACTTGGAGTCCCATCCCCAAGATATCTCATTATGTATATGCAAATGTTCCAAAATTAAAAAGAAGAAATCCAAAATCTGAAACATTCTGGTCCCAAGCATTTCGGATAAAATACTTAAACTGTACTTAATACTTAAACTGTAACTGAACTGTAGTTCAAATCTCTGTTTTCCGTGTGAAGGAATAAAGATAGGGATGCGCCAGTCATATTGCCACAGCCCACTCCAGCCCGTCCGAGTGCATGCTGCATGCACCCTAATGCCACTGCTGTGAGGGTTAAACAAAGACAGCATGTAAAACTCCAGGCAGCGCACAGCTCTGAGAGCTCGTCGAAAGAGGCTCCTTCTTCTTTCCCTTGACAAAGCAAGATCGCCCTGCAAATCCTGAAACCTTGAGACACCTAGTTGCTGTGGGACCACGGTCCTCGCCCTCCACACTCGCCTTTTGCAGATGCGAACCCAGCCTGGGACAAAAAGTCGCCGAGGCCTTTAACCGTCTTCTCACTCACTCACCCATCCCATGCCAGATCACCAGCGGCCACGGTGTCGGCTGGTCGCGCTGCCCCAGCGCGCGGGCAGCGCAGTACCAGGGTAGGAGAGAGAGAGTCAGGAACCACAGCGAGCCGGGCGACGCCATCTTGACTGTGTCATATGACCGCCAGCGCGCGACTCCGGCCACCTAAATCCCCCGGGCGGGGCGGGGCGGGGAGGGGGCGGGCCGCGTCCTCCGCATCCCGGGCGGACCCCTGGGCAGGTGGGCGGCGGCCCTGTGGCTCTCTGCGCGGCCGCGCCGGGATCAGGCGCCCTGGCAGACCGCCCGCCGGTCAGTCAGAACAGTTGCCAACGTCTACGCAGCACTTCAGATACCGGTGCTACGCTGAGTGCTTTACGACTCATAATAACGCTAGGTTCGCTTCGCCCCACCTTACAGGTGGGAACACTGAGGCACTGAAAGTTGGGTAAGGTGCCAAGGTCACACAGATAACAAATTTGGGGGTCCAGAGTCATCGCTCTTTACCACTGCACTCCCGGTACTGCCTTTGTAAGAGAAATGCTCTGTGGAAGGAAGAGAGGAAAAGAAAGGAAGTGAGGTCCGGGCGCGGCGGCTCACGCCCGTAACCCCAGCACTCTGGGAGGCAGAGGTGGGTGGATAGCTTGAGCTCATGAGTTTGAGACCAGCCTGAGCAAATGCGAGATCCCCGTCTCTACTAAAAATAGAAAAACTGAGGCAAGAAGATCTCTTGAACCCAAGAGTTGGAGGTTGCTGTGAGCTATGATGCCACGACACTCTACCCAGGGTGACAAAGCGAAACTCTGTCTCAAAATTAAAAAAGAAAGAAAGAAAAGAAAAGAAAAAGAAAGGATTCAGCTCTGCATTAGAGATGGAAAGGGAGACAGCATCTCCAAGGAGGAGATGGCAGGGTGTGGTATTTATTCTGGATCTTGGAGGAAAGATAGGATTTCAACAAAGATGACATTCTGGAAGACTGACATGCGCTAAGGTAGAGAAGAGGAGTGCCTCTAGAAATCTCGGGGTTTCCAGACCGGCAAGAGCCTCTGCTGAAAGTGTAAGAGTGGCGGGGAACCCCACGGCCACTTCCTAGTCTAATCTCAGGGCTGGAATATTGCAAGAGCCTCTCATCAATCATTTTCCCCTTTTTCATCCTCTCCTCTTTAATTCATGTTATATTCTATTGCCAGATTCAATCTCTCAATCCTCATCTCAGTTCCTTGCTCAATCTTTTTTCAGAAAAACATCAAAAATAACTTAATTAGGGAATTTATTAAGAAATTAGGCTCGGCGCCTGTGGCTCAAGAGGCTAAGGCGCCAGCCACATACATCTAAGGTGGCAGGTTCGAATCCAGCCCAAGCCCACCAAAACAACAATGATGGCTGCAACCAAAACAAAACAGCCGGACATTGTAGTGGGCGCCTGTGGTCCCAGCTACTTGGGAGGCTGAGACAGGAGACTTGCTTGAGCCCAGGAGTTGGAG